ACATATCTCGAAAACTACTATAGCTATGTCAACCAAACTGTATAGAGTCGTTTCTTTTAAGCATTTCCATATACAGTTCAAAAATGGAAGAAATCGGATAATAACCATGCCCACCTCCCATACAATGGTTATGAAATAACCATAAGCAAATAATAACGTCAGAAACACTAAATTTTACGGAAGAAATGTCAGAAGGAAGCTGCATCCAGGCTTTTTTTTAATTGAAAATGGGCGTGGCGTCGCCCACTTATGGACCAAAAACCATATCTCAGGAAGTACTCGACTATGGGTGAAATCGGTTCACAACCATGCCTGAAATCCCGATTATCACTTTATCATACGAAAGTATAAAATGTTCGGTGACACCCGAACTTAGACCCCCCTTACTTGTTTTTTATTGTTATTATTTTCTTATTGGTCCGGTTCTCCAATATATTAACCCAAAATTAAAAAAAAAATTATTCACCCACAGTTTTTACCATACTATCCGCACTAAAAGATCATTTGCGTGTGCATAGCGGGGAAAAGCCGTTTGTGTGCGACATATGCAACAAAGCGTTTAGCCAAAAGACGAACTTRAAGCAGCATATAATGCGGCATTCCAAGGAAAAGAAATTCAAATGCGATGAGTGTGCGAGGACATTTGTTACTAAGGGCGAACTTTGCTCACATAGGCGTACACATACCGGCGAACATCCATTCCGCTGCGATGAATGCTTGGCTACATTTACAATATCTAGTTCGTTGGTGAAACACAAGCGTATACATACTGGTGAACGACCATACGCATGCGATCTGTGCCCGAAACGTTTTACGTCATCATTTACGCTAAAAAATCATAGACGCACTCATACCGGTGARAAACCATTCAAGTGTCGCTGGTGCAGCAAAACATTTACACAGAAACAGGATTGCGTTATTCATCATCGTACGCATACTGGTGAACGAAATCATTGGTGTCATGTGTGTGGCGAGAAATTTACACATTTGGGTACATTACGTACGCACATGAAAACACATGAGGCGAAAGATGTSGATGGTGTATCGAAAACTGCAGGACGAGGAAAAAGGGTTTCGACACGTAGCATGCTCAATACTTCTAAACGAGATAGTATGGCTGGTTCAGCTTACAATATTACYATATTGAATGTTGAAGAAGACGATGGTGATGCTGATGGCGATGTCGATGAAGACACGACTACAGTTGTAACGGTGGCTCGTGAGGATATGGAACGTCTGGTGGCAGGTGGTACGCTACGACGTAGTGAAGAAGCTACTGTCGGTGAGGAAAAACTTGTGCAACTAGCTATTGAGGAAGTTTAACAAGACATAAATAAAAATAAAGTAATAATAAATACATAAATAAAAAAWTCTTAACTGTTTGAAGTTTTTAAAATTTAATACATTAACTTGATCAATTAAATATGTGTTTAAGTATTTTAATGCAGCGTGTACGTGTCACTTGCTTGGCTGTTGCAACTGTTGTTATACATTTTTTGTAGCGGCGCAGTTGATTGTTATTCATTTGCGTATCATTTTGGTGGTAAATTTACAATATTTTAACCGCATTATATTTGTATATGTATAAATTTGTGATGTAAAGTTTTATGTAAATTGTCTCACTTGTGTCATCTGAACGCTTGCGACAGAACCGCCGCTATTGCCACCACCACCACCACCTTCATCGAAACTATTTAAACTAGTTGACGGCGGTTCGGAATTGAACCAATTGATTAACGCATGGTGTACGCTCTGTACGCATTTACGCTGATCGGCAATCAGATTTTCCGAGTATTTTACATGATTTGCAAATGCCTCTTTCTCGTGTAATAAATCTTTGGACATACGATGCAGATCTTTGAGTATGGCTGAGCCCCACAATTGTACATGAATATCGGGTATTTTGGAAGCCAACTGCATAGCAGGTGTAACCATATTCATGCTTTCCTTCGAATTGCCAATGCTGAGGAAGACATGTGATAGTAGAACCAAAGAACAGGATGTTAAACGATTGAGATCTTCAGCATTGGCCATTTTTAAGGTCTCGCGTAGGAATCGTCTAAAAAAGCAAATATATGACATTATTTTTTATTTGTATTTATATTTTGATAGTTCAATATTCGTTTTAAATTACTTGGCCTCGTGAAAACTGCTTTTATGAAAGGCATGTAGCCCTTGTACATAATAGAAACCGCCCATTAGTGCTTGACTGCTATGCGTGTGCGTATTCTCTGTGGATACAGTGTCCAAAATTTGTTTTAGATCCTGTTCGCGCTTTGTGCGTAGAAAAATAATTGCTAAATTTAAATTAGCAAATAATTTTAGATCACGTTCAGTTGTTTCCATGACACAAGCTATGAATTGCCGTTCTGCGTGTTCATAAAAGCTAGTCGACATTGAGTATAAACCTAATAGACAATGTAGTTGTGCTGAATGACGTCGCAGTAAACCTCGATTGGGTGATGCAATGCAAACATCTCGCGCTGCTGCAATTTCGGTGATCGCCAGAATACGATTGCCCATCACCATGCGACACATTACAATGTGCTCCAGTAATATCACCTTGAACACTGATAATATAGGTTTGTCATCTTGCGCTTTTAATTTTTCAATTTGTGTTAACGCTTTCTCTGTGTACTTTTGTGCCTTATCCATATAACCGGCCATCATTGAGTGCGATACCGTCACTAAATATACCAAAACATATAACTGTTCTTTAGGTAGCCACACGAACATTTCTAACGCGTTTTGTCCGAATATTGCTGAACCAAAAAAAAAAAAGATAAATTTGTAGTTATTTTATTAATTGAAATTATATACAAAACTATACCTTCATCGGTCGGCCAGTTGGGCGCCATTATTGTTTGGATCGATGTTTGCAATTGTTTTAAACTGGGTTTTACGGTTTTCACCTGACCCAAAGCAAGGTAATAGCAGACTTGTAGTACTAGGAAAAATACTTTCAAGTATTCCTTCTGATGAGCATTAGTTATGTTGTTATCAATAATTGCACCCGCCGTATTTAACAACGCTAATACATCGTTTGTCTTCCGCTCTATCATTAATATCATAGCGCGTGACAATAAAAATAACACTTTGAGATAAGTAGTACCGGTCTCCTCAGCTGACTCTACACCAACGGCCAATAATTCAGAAGCTAAAGAATACTCYCGATCTGAGGCGTGTATTTGCGCAAGTTGTAACAACAATTTGCAATGCCAAAAGACATTATGCTGCGACAATTCAACAGCCCGGCGTAGCATCGCCTTTGCTTGAGAATTTTGTTCCAACTGCAGGTGTAACTGTGCTAATAGCGAGGCGGTGTCAAATTTGACGTCATCAAAATGTACCAAMGTCTCAGAAAGTTTCCATGCAGTTTCTAAATGATTCCGCGCTAAATCGGTGTTCAATGTATAGGCCATCAATATTTGGCCCATTTGTAGGTGTGTGCGTGCTTCCACTTTTGTCGGTGGCTGGAAGGTGAACAACGCTTGTAAGCACTGTATACATTTCTTAATGTTTGGCGGTTTCGATGTACGAAAATGTTCGGCTAGGCCTAGCAATGATATATAGCAGGCATCCTGGGAAGGCGCTGTAGCAGTGCTTGTTGATGCCATCTCAATTCACCAACCACACTAACAGCAGCAGCAACAAATACAATTGCTTCAGCTTGTTATAGTAGGATTCATAAATTACTGACGCAGATTTACTTATTATTGAGCCATTTGTTATATATTTTCACAATTGTATTAAAATTCATTAAACTGATCACCTTCGCTTAAACAAAATATTGCAAAGTATTGAGGTGAATAACACATTTGGCAATTGTGGTGGATTTATGGCATTTGGATTTAGATGTTGCCGTATATTACACTGTGAATGTAGAGTTATGGTTTTGCTATTATTCTAATAAGATAATCTATAAGAATAATTTGCATTTGAAACATACTATATTTCTAAAAAAAAATATTTGCTTCCGTTTGGGTTAAAACTTTTTAAAAAAATATGGTTAAAACTTGCATTGTGAATATTTCACCTTAATTGTTTCTTAAGTTGGCAAAGCGAACATTGGTTTTTGGAAGAGAACGCAGAGAACGTATATACAGTCAGAGAACGTTTATCATAAAACGGTATATAATATACGTTCTCTGTATCCAAAGCAATTATGGCCGATTCATATACAACTGTTGCATCGCTTTGCTTCAAGTATTCGTTGTGACAGATTTAGTTCAATGCATGCAAAGTAAAGATTGGACAATTCCATCTTTTTACGCTTTGCTAAATAACATAGCAGCACGGAAAGCAAAATTTTATTTGTTTTGTCGTTAAAATATGGATTGTCAAACGAAACACGGTAAACTGTATTTAAAAAACTGACCTATCTACGTTTCGAAATTATCCATTGTGTTAAATAGCTGTAACACGGATAAYTATTATCTTAATGATATATATCTATTTGTGCCGATATTAATCGACAAAGGGCTCTCAAACCCACAGTTGCTACAACAACCACCCAAATTATTAAAATTCTGGTTTATATGGGTAAATTTAATTTTTAAAATAATGTAGTTCAGACTA